CAAAGAAGCCTCGGGCCCCGGAAATGGAGGTAGGCAATTATCGCAAGCTTTTCCAACTAATCCGCACCACTGGTCCCAGACGTCATTGAGACAATCAGAGTCAGTGCGGGTGCACTGATACACAATAACGAGCGCCGTATAGCTCTTTGGACGGAGAACTTTCGAGATCTATTCGGTTGGCCCTTTACTTCTGGACCTCATTTTACTCAGGTGATGCAAGATGAGCCATGACAGCTAGTTTATAGGCTCCATCCTAGGCTGAGGTCCGAAACGCGATCACAGTCCGCGAGTCGTTTTCGTGCTGCTGGCCCGGATTCCCTCACCTGCACTATTTAAGGAAGGAGGTGAGGTCCTTTGCAATGCACTGGCCTTCCTATTCGAACATATCTGATGTGATTCGATTTTAGTGGTACTATGCAAGACGAACATTCGCACCGACTGTGCTAACCGCAGGGATATTAGCCTACCACCAGTTGTGACAAAAGTACTGGCCTCGATTCTCGTTCGTCGCCTCACTGTGAAGCGGGAATCTCTTATTAGGGAAGAGCAGGCCGCTTTCCGCCCTGGGTGTGGCTGTATAGACCATATATTCACTTTACGGCAAGTGCTAGAGCAGCGCTACGCATATCACAGACTGACAATAGCTGCGTTACTCGACTTCAGGTATGCTTTCGATCCAGTCGATCGATGCATTCTATTCGAAATACTGGCGCAGAATGGTATTCCGATGAAAATTGGGAACATTTTGCGTGCTCTATACTTAAACACCACAGCCTGCGTAACGCTCTATTGTAACGTGTCGGATATCTTTCCTACCACAAGTGGCGTTCGTCACGGTTGCCCGATTTCTCCATTTTTGTTCAATTTCGTCGTGGACTCCATCATGGAATGTTCCCTTGCGAATCCTCAGGATAGAGACGTTGAGGTTCCCCCTGGTAAAAGGCTAGTTGATCTCTATTATGCGGACGATATTATCTTGCTTTTGACGATGTCGCGGTGGCACAATCAATCCTGAGTAACCTTCCTAGATTGCCCCGATTATTTGGTATGCGCTTCGCATCTTCAAAGTGCAGACTGTTGCTGCAGGACCACCAGCAACTTGATGACTCCTTGACCCTTGTTAGCAAAGAACCAGAGGTAGTTGATCACTTCACTTGACAGTTGCATCAGCCACGGTGGGCGCATGGCAACTGACGTCAGTTCACATATTGTCAAAACCAGAACTGTCTTCTTGAATCTGTGGGGACAGAATAGTTTCTCATTTCGTCTGTAGGGCCGTGTTTACAAGACTACAGTGAGGGCTGTCCTATCCCATGGGAGTGAAATCTAGCCCCTTCTGTCTGAGGATCTGAGGCGGATTCAAGTCTCTGATCATTGTTGTCTGCGAAGAATTGCTGGTTTCGGGTGGCACTGGCGTGTCCGCAACGACGATATGCGTAGGCGAGTACTAGGTAGTGATAATCATGCTAGCTCCCTGGAACAACAGATAGCACTGAATAAGTTGCGTTGGCTTGGGTACGCTTTACGTATGCCCGGTTACCGCTTATCTAGGAGGGCCTTGTTTAGTCTGCCAGGTGTAGGGTAGCGCAAGGCTCGAGGTGGACAGAAGTTGACTTGGCAGCGTGAAATGAAGTCACTGACGACCAAAGTGGCTGCCGTTGGTCCGTCTCGCCTTCCGGGCTGTAGTCCACATGACCGGCCTTGTGCTCGGCTCGAGACCTTACAGGGCATGCCTCGCAACCGACACCAGTGGCGCGTCTGCTACCTTCTAATGGGATTGCCTGTTTATGGTGTGTTTATTGTTGAGTTATCTGCGGGATAATGGATGATTATGACACATGACATTGAAACCTGCAAAGAAACTGTCTCGCCGATGCCGCCTTATGTTTGCACCACAGCCAGCTGTTTGTGACGATAGGTTGTGTACACAAGGTGTAGGCGCCTTGACCCTGACTGTTTGCTTAAGGCGTTAATATTTTCTGATAAGTCTCCCTTCTCTCTCTCTTATTATTTTTTTCATAGGTCCTCATGGTTGTATGGCAGCGAAGCATCAGTTCAAATGGCTGATGTACTGCTGTTGTTGATTATGATGCTTACTAGGATTCTCGTGACATTGCCTCCTGTTTGTGCTGCTTCCTCGCAGTTGTGCTGGCTATGAGCAAATAAACGAGTTCTGCCTTTGATGTGGCTGGGCCATAGCAAACTTCGTTGTGGCACCGCTCTTTGCATCGAGTACCGTTTGGATCACGGTGAACGTTCTCATGGTTACATCTCCGCTCTCGGGTTAATAGTGCCGTTTCGAGTAAATATGTCGTGCTACGCGGCCTTTTCTTTGGGAATCGTCGGGGGGAGGGTATGGCACTCGAATTAAATGGGTCGGTAACTCATGTCTTTCCTTGTAAAAATCAGTAAACTAAGGTGGTGACGTGCAACCGTTATGACTGATTACTAGCTGTGGGATAGCGTGGCTCATCCTCACTGCCATGCACGTTGCTCACTTGTAGAGGACATTGTTTATCCCAAGAGCTAGAACTTCCCTTGCTAGATCTCCAGTAATCAGATCACATTATATACCAGTTGAAGAGGTTATCGTTTATAAATTAGTCGCGCAACGAGGCTAACAGTGTCGTCCGATTTCATACATTAGGTTATGTGGAAATACAGTTGATCGTTGCTTCCTAGTGCTGTCTAACTCCCCAGTGTGTGTGTAAACCTAAGTGTCTGGCGCTTTGCCATCTTTGAATACCTCACTAACCGACACATCACACGGATCTTTGATCAGTAATGTGTACATTCTACTTGCACTCAATTTATGTGTAGCAATTCGGGTGCTCTCAACCAAAGTGTCTATATTTTCGTTTTGATTTATTTCTGATAAGATGTACTCAACCTACTATACAATGTAATATTCCGCGAGTCCCGACTTCATAGTCCAATATAATATGCCATCGTTTCGTTCGCATACAGTGCACTACTTGCCACTCGAACGTTACGAGAGCAATATATCTACAAAAAGTCAGCCTTCCCCCCGGCAGGCAGTCTGTGTAATTTGACAGGACCTTGAAAATTTGTCCGTAGAACAATGGTGATCATGACCTGACTACTGCCTCATGAACTATGTTCGGTTGCTTCTGTTACTGACTCGATCTTACATCTAAGACTTCATGGTTATGCAAACCCCACAGTCATAAGCAGGCATCCAGTCGATGTTTGAATTTAGTCACTCTTTTAGGCTAACTTTTTCACAAGTAAGACGCTCTACCATTTGATTCATTCATGTGATGACAACAACACTAATACATACCTTTCTCATGACTCGAAAAACTGTGTCTGTAGCAGCACTGATCAATTTTTACCAAAGTAATCATGCACCGGAATGTTAGCTTTTTAGGTACCTGCTATGTGTCTGGAATTGCGACACAGTCTCAATTGTGGCCTCGGTTGACTTTGAAGTCAATCTCTGCCATTCTGATTACTAGGACCGTATACGACCGAAGTGGAGGGTTTCGGTGTTGATAGAGAGAGAGAGAGAGAGAAATACCGTAACCATGCTCTCTTGCATGGGTGATATGCATATGTGGTATATTGTGGCATGCGACTCATGTGATAACTTTTTGTTGGATGATTGTGTCGAAAGCCAAGATTTGGATACATGGGTAGTTAGGTTTTTTTGGGCCCTCTTGGAATAGCTCACCGATGGATTTTTCCAAGTAAATCTAGTTATTCTGGTATTCAGATCAACGTAACTCGAAAAACGATGAACTCGTTTGGTTTGAAATACGATAAACACGTTTGGCGAGAGACCATGAACGCGTTTGGCTGGATACACCTGTTGACATGGCTAGGAGCCGACCTCAATGGCATATGTGGTGTGATTTTCTTTGTCCCCCCCTATCCCTCTTAGCCTCCCCATTCAACCACGATCTCACTAATTAGCCTTATATAATTTTGCATAGTAAATTTTTTTGCTGCATAGTGACCGGCTGTTAGCTTACCGGAACGATGCCCATCCGTTACCAACAGCTCAGCTGACTTGCGCCTGTAGCATTTTATTCCCTTCTTTTTAGGTATTGCGGCACAGTAGCTGAGGTGTTCCCCACCTCTAGCCAACATGTATAATGATGATGATGAACTTGAGAGCTTGTTACTAAATGTCGCCACCTTGTCATACGACCTGCGTGCCATTGGCAGTTTATTCCACATATAGCCATATCTGACCAGGGAGAAATGTGGGCGAATTCTTTTTCTACTCTTTGGTATATTCAGTGAATAATTTCTGTTGCGAAGTTCTTGAGTAGTACTATGTTGCTGTTAGATTATAGGCGGATCTGGTTAGGTTTTTGTGTGTAACGGGTTGAAAAGCAGCAACACATTTTGCTTCAGTCGCCAATTCCAAAATGGTCCGAGTCGAAGTTCGTTACAACGCTCTCGATAATTCATCGCAGAGTGCTTACCAACTAGATGTTTGTTAAACGATCTCTGTAGGTGTCCCATTACAATTCTGGTACTCTTTCTCATATCACCGTATATTATACTGCAGTACTGGAGAATGGGGCCGGTGCATAGCTTAACAAGCTCAACGGTATCATTGGTTATGTATATTCTGTTACATATCTTAAACACAGATGGTCTGGCACGTGCTACTTGGTGCTGGGCATGTTTGCCGTGTACTTATTATTTCATGATCACGTGGGACGTTTTTCCTCAACGCTTCGTTCTTTTCATCCTTTAATCTGTTATCGCATCACCAACTTGTGCTCACTTAATATCAGTACCACTTTCTATCGGCATTATCTCGCTTGCGACAAACTTGGCTTTGTGTAATGACAAATCATCGCTGCATCATATACTGCTTTTTCCTAATAGTGCGTTATTGCTGGAACCTAGGCAATTAATCCCATTAAAGACATAATTTTCAATTTTACTTGTTCTTCTCTGCTGTTGACCAATTCTTTTGTACTGATCATCCAATACTCTTTGTGTATTCTTCTCTGTGACAGAAATTATGCATGATTCCTACGTTCTCTACACATTGAAAGTCACTTGTACTTCTGTGGACTCTGGTCACGCCGACTTCTGGCAAACGTTGCGCCGGTACAGTCACTTTGCCGAACTGCACTCCCTGATTACGGAACAAGTAAGGCAACCAGTTCTTCCACCTCTCTATTGTTTCAGTGTGACCGCTGCTCAAACTGTTACTTCTTCATTCCCTTTCATGCATCCCGGTTTTGCGCTCCCTTGTGTCATTATTGACTGAATCGCGTCAGTCGAGTATAAAGTTTACAAATGGTATCCAGTGCGGTGAAGCAATTGGCACCATCTTCACCGAAGTTCCAATAGAAGTATATTTTTGGATTTTCATTTCAGTGCAACAATTTTGTTGGGCTAAAACTGCCTCCAAAGCGGCCTTTCAGTAATCTGAGCGAACAGTTTTTGAGTCGGCGTCGTCGTGAGTTGAACGAATATCTTTCGGTACGTTCAGATATTGCATGGGCACTTAGCTCTCCTGAACATATATTTTCTTTCCCTCTGTGTTCCACTAAACTCCACGATATCAGATGAACTGCATGCTACCGCTTAGTAAAAAATTTGCATAACCGCTCATTCACAAGGCTGGCATATAAAAAAACACTTTACCACCGTATATCATCTTCCAGGAATCTATCCCGTGGTTGTTGGGTCTATAGTTCAACACCCTCAGTATCTGGAGATATACGATGTTCTGGTAATGGGCAATGACATTAATGATAACTGTCCTTCGTGCGCTCGATTCGCCTCGTCCTCCAGTCCGTTTGGTTCTAGACGTTTCATAACATTGATCGCAGCTGGTGCATGTGGCGATTTTGGTGTCGCTTCCCAACCGTGCCGTCTGTTGACGCTACATTGGGAGTGGTTAAGCGGATTATGACGCTGGATCAGAGGAAATAGGCACACTCTGTGCAGAACCGGGCCACCAAGGTTCGCGAACCGAAAGATAAGCAAGATAATATCTATCAACCGTGGTGGCGAATAGTCACCGCGTTTCATTCATCAAAAAGCACGCCATGGCTCGTGAGCGACTGAAGGCTTTTATAACAGCAATGATGCATCTCTCTAGATTCCTGTAAAACGGGTGGCTATCTGCTGCACTACTTTGAAACTAACAGACAAACAGCAACATACGGATAGTTGTCTCACAGACTAGCGTT